ACACACACACACACCACACACATACACACATACACACCACACACACACACACACATGAAAGCCCGTCTCAGGGTTCAGTAACTGCTACCACCTGTGAACCTTGGACCCTCTGTAAATGCCAGACTTGTCTCCAATCTGCCCACTGGCCAACAAGACGTCGTCTCTGAGCTATCTTCCTGCTGGCAAAGTCCAGTCCCTTCATTGTTTAAAAAAGAAAAAAAAAAAGCCCTCTAGGAAATACCTTCTTTGCAGTGTCTTCTAATTTGGCCCAAGAAACAACTTGCCAGGATCTGGTGTAGCTCTCCAGAACTTTGGCGAATAAAAGCACACCGCCAGTCCTGGAAAACACTGTGGCTCCCGGAGCCTTCCCCAACAGTCGGACACTGGCCTTGGTGCAGACGCTGTAAGAGCTGGCCCGGGCGGCGGCGGCAGCAAAGCTGGGCAGAGGGGGATGACCGCCCGCGCCTTTCCCGGGCACAGCTGCCAGAGCGCGGCGCTGGCTTCTCCCCGCGCCGGAGGGAAGTCACGTGACCGCGCCAGACGCCACGCACGCGCTCGTGGCTGCCCGAGTCTCTCTGTGCGCACGCGTCCTGTGCATTCGAAACCCCCTCCCCAGCTTTGACCTTGCCCATGACCCGCTAGGGCCCAGGGTGGCCGTGACATTCGTACAAAAAACGACGGCTTGGAGCCCGCCCCGCGTACCTTCCGTACGCAGCGAACCTTTGCCGAGCTGTGTCCGAGTGCCAGCGTGCGCGGGGCACGGAGGATCGAGTTATAAACAGGATCCGGTTCGGTCTAAGGAGAAGCAGGGCTCAGGAGGTAATCTGAGTCCTGGGTTGAAGGACGGCTGAGCTACCCGTAATCCCGAGGGAAGGCAGCGGCAGGGGCGGCCCCCACCCCAGGCCCCTTCCCGAGACAGAGAGGGGACTGGACGGGATCTAGACGGGGAACGCTTAGGCCAGTTTATTACACAGTGAGGCAGGTGGAATCCCGGGAGGCTGCAGGCCGTGGGTTCCTCTGGCCAGCCGAGATCCAAACGTCCATCCACCATGGGCCTCGGGAAGGATGGGGGAGGGGGGACTGGAGGCACCGTGGGAATCCTCCAGTCACCATGGAAACGCCTCCCGGGCAGGGAGGTGGGTGGGTGGGTGTCGGGTGGGAGGAATAGGTATAATTTACTTTGCTGGTGGCCCTCGCGTACATCTGTGATCCCCCCTCATCCCTCCCTCCCTCCCCCCCCAACCACAAGTCATGGAGGCCCCACAGCCAGAGAGAAGTATTGTCATAGGACTGAGAGCCGGGGGGGCGGGCGGGGGGACACGGGAGGAGCACACGCCACCACGCTCAACCGCAACCGCCAATTTTCAGCAGCTGTGTTGTCCCTTCTCCCCTGGGCGGGGGGCGGAGGAGATGAGGGGGGCCCTAGAACTCAGTCCTGGCAGAGGGGAGGGTGGAGGAAGTGTCAGAGGTGGAGGAACAAACCAGGGCTTGGCCCCGCTTCACCCCGAGTCTCCTAACGCCTCCCCAGCCCCACACACAAGTGCACACGCCCCTAAAACCAAAACCCTCGCGGGCCAGAAAGCACCGGCAGCCCGGCCGGGCCCCAGCTCCGAGCAGCCCCTGGTGGATCCCGCGCCCTTTCCGAGGTCACTTCCTCGCCCCCCCCTCTTCCTCCCTCCCCTCCTCAGGCCTCCTCCCGGCCTCTAAGCCTGTGCCTCTAACCCTCGGGACTCTCCAATCTCCAAGGCCTTGGCAGCGCACAGGGAGTTTTCTAAAGATAAACACGGCCCGGGGCGGGCTGCCTCCAAGCCGTCAAATTAGAAGGTTCTAAGTTAGGATCCCGTCTTCTGCCTCCCGGCTGTCCCTCCCTGCCTACTTAACGTGTCAGATCTCTAAGGCTCGGTCCCTGGATTTGAACCCTTCCTTCCGGGAGCTGAGGGAGGCCCCAGTTCTCTTCCCGCCCAGATTGGTTTAGGAGCCAGAAGTCCCTGGTGGCACGTGGGAGCCTTGGGCCTGCCACCGCCCACGGCTGACACCGCATCAGCTCCCAGGCCTGAGTTCAAACCCCACGACTGACAAGAAGGGAGGGAGGGAGGGAGAGGGAGGGGGAGGGGGAAGAGAAGAAAAGGTGATCATTTAGAGAGAACAAGCCGGCCTGGCCTTCATCGGCAGGAAGTGCTCTGAAAGGAAAAGCCACAGAGCACGTGTGACCCCGGCCGATGTCAGCGGGGCCCCCCGCCCCGGGGCTGTGTCCCCCCCCCAGGTCCCAGGTGGCAGTGCGGCCTGGGGACCGGCCCCTCCTTCCCCCGCCCACATCCACGCGCATCCCTTTGCTGCATCTTCTCTCTGATCACAGGGCTCCTGCCCAGAGGAAGGGTCCCAGGTCCCCGGGGTGGCCCCGGGTCTCTGCCCACGCCCCTCCCCGCCCCTCCCCGCAGCTGCTGCTGGCTGCACGTTTCGGTCCTCCCTCCCAGGAGAAAACCCTGGGCAGCCAGGAAGGCTCACAGCTGCACGCTCTGTTCTTAACAGTGGCCAAGCTACCAGGGAACCCCGCTCCATCCCCGGCCGCGCCCTGGCCCTCCCCGGCCTCGGGCCGAGCTCACCACACCCCCACGCCCCCATCCCATCCCCGGCTGGCCCTGGCCCTCCCCGGCCTCGGGCTGAGTTCACCACACCCCCACGCCCCCATCCCATCCCTGGCTGCATCCTGGCCCTCCCCGGCCTCGGGCCGAGTTCACCACACCCCCCACGCCCCCATCCCCTGCCGCGCCCTGGCCCTCCCCGGCCTCGGGCTGAGTTCACCACACCCCCCACGCCCCCATCCCCGACCGGCCCTGGCTCTGGCTGTGGCGTGGGCCCGTCCTCTCTTCTTCCTGCCGCTTTTTGCCCGTGATTCCTCCACTAGGAAGGGCTCTATTTAGAGCGCAGCGCCTGGCCATATCTTGCATTCATTCATTCATTCATTCATTCACTCCACGGATGTGCTGCGGCCTCCCCGGGCAAGGCCTGTGGGGAGCACTGGGGACTGACACAGCCCACACCTCACACCGTGTCACCGCCGACCATCCACAGATAGAGCCCCGGGTGTGTGGGACGGGGAAGGTTCCGGAAGCCCCGGGCCACAGTGAAGCGTGCAGAGTGTGGAGAGCTCTCCTTCGGGGACTCTGTTCAAGCCCACAGCCCACGGGCACTTCTTAAATCTTCTTTTTGATTTTGCGGTAGTCACGGTGACCGCACATTGCTGGTTTTCACTAACCAATCATAATAACAACAATAATAATAATAGTAACAGCGGGTCAGGATTCATGGGCCTGTAACCATAGGCCCCACGGGCCCCCGAGCTGGTGGATTTGGGGACCACCCTGCGAACAGCACCACTGTCCGGGGGACGACTCTGCAGAGCGGGGGCCGCGGCCGGACCCTGGAGATCCCGGGTCCGCGGCACTGCCTGCACCGGTCCCCTGGCATCCTTCCGCTCCGAGCCGTGCGGGGTTTGTTACCACGTGTCACCACGGGGTCCCTTCTCCCACCCAAGGCCGCGGGCCGGCCCGGCCCGGCCTGGGCTCGGCTTCTCGCTGGTGGGCACGGCCGGCCCCCGCGGCCGGCCTGCAGAACCGTCTCTCTGCCCACACGTCCTGTAAGGTTTGTTCTGGCCCGGTCCGGGCAGCTGGCCTACTTCAGACACGGAGCTCAGTGCCTGGGGAGGGGCAAGGGGGAGACGCAGACATCAGAAGGTTTACCAAGAACCGTGCGGAAGGGCTGTGTGAGCTGGCCCTGTTTCTTAGACAAGTGAATAGAAAACACCGCCATTTCCAGAAAATAAAATAGAGAGAGAGACAGAGGCAAGATTCCTCTTGAGGTAGAGCCAGCCAGTGCCCTTCACAGCTCAGGTCAAGGTCACAGCTCAGTGTTTCTGGCTGCAGACGATGCCCAGGCCGAGGTAGACCCACCCACGGCGGTAGGAAACCCGACCGAGCCCTGGGGCGTGGTCCCGCACGCCATCCACGCTTCCTTTCTGCTCTAACCCAGCTCCGCTTCCTCTCTCCTAACTCTCCTTCGTCTTTGCAGATGCAGGACGCTATGGGCTATGAGTTACCCTGGGTGTATTTTGTCAGTCTGGTCATCTTTGGATCCTTTTTCGTTCTAAATCTGGTTCTCGGTGTGTTGAGCGGGTAAGCCGACCACGCGCGTGTGTTCGCAGCAAGGCGGCCGAGCAAGGTCCCACGGCCACCACTGCCCGCGGCCGGGGAACACCAGAGACAACCAAACAAAACCAAACCAAAATCTCCTCGGAACCACCAATTCCGGTCCATTGGCTGCACAGGCCGTTTGGCTCCTTGGCTTCGCCCCCCCGGGGGGATCCCGGGTTCCAGGGCTGGCCCTTGGCCCTGCTCGGCGGCTGTGTGTGTGCGTGTGTGCCTCACTAACGAATATCCCGTTCTTCCAGGTCAATGATGCTGTAGGAAGGGACTGGCCCTGGATCTATTTTGTTACACTAATCATCATAGGGTCATTTTTTGTTCTTAATTTGGTTCTCGGTGTTCTTAGCGGGTAAGCAGGACCAAGGAAAAAGGTCTTGATTTTTTTTCCATTTATATCTATTTTTTTTTCCTACTACTTCTAGTGCTATTCTTTTTTTTTCTTTTCTTTTCTTTTTCTTCCTGGCTCTGATGCATTTGGGATGAAGGGGTCACCACGGGAGCTTGACAGGCAAAGGCCTTGGCCTGGCTGGGAAAGGAACCTGACACACGGGCAGATCCACCCTCCCCCCTCCGAGCCCCTTCCGGCCCCAGGGACCCCAGGAGCCGGTCAGTGCCCTCACCTGGTGTTTTCGGCCCCTTGCCGTTCGCAGGCTGAACGGGCAAAGAGTCCAGACCGCTTCTTTTTATTTCCTTCATGATGGCACTGGGATGTGACCCTGGGGGCCCCTTGCTTGCTGAGCAGGTGCTGCGCCACCTGAGCCACGACCCCAGCCACCAGATCACTTTCCCTCGGGCCCAGCCGGATGCAGAGCAGAGGCTGTGGTCTCTAGATCACGGGGTGCTTGCCTGGCCAGTGCAGGCCCTGGATTCGATCCAAAAAGAAAAGTGCATACTCACGTACACACCTTCAGCCTGAGCACCCCATACCAGCCACACCACGGCCCGACCCCGAAACCTCCCTGGTGGCCCCCTGGTGGGCGGCGGACTCCTCTGCCTCGGCTGTCTGGGGGTGGGCATTCTGTCTGTGCCACTCCGCTGAACCGGCTGACCCGGCTGCTCTGAGGTCTCTCCCAGCCACGCGGGGACTCAGCAGGCTCCAGGGGCCAGGGCGCTGCCCTGCAGGGCAGACTGGGGACCAGCCTGGCCACCTCCCACGGGGAGGCTGGGCCTGCCGGTCAGTGAGCACAGAAAGCACAACAGCGCAGGCCCGTTGTGAGCTGCCTGGAAGGTAGAAGGGGTTTCCACGTTCCAACACAAGAAAATGGCCCTGCACTGATAGATGAATCTCCACCTAAAAGGAAAAACAAACACCTAGGGGGAAAGGGCCAGGAGACAGAAATCCGCCCACCCCGGCTCGGCCCCGACAGGTGCCCAGGCCAGGCGGCTTGGCCTTTTGCCAAACCGCTACCGCTTGAGCCACGGCGCCACTTCTGGTTTTCTGGTGGTTCATGGGAGATCAGAGTCTCATGGAGTTTCCTGCCTGGGCTGGCTTTGAACTGTGATCCTCAAATCTCAGCCTCCTGAGTGGCTAGGATGACAGGCGTGAGCCACCGGCGCCTGGCCTGGTCATGGCTTTTTTTGTTTTCTGATTAGTCGGGACAATATAAGAGCACTCAAGCGATTCACCAGCTAGACTTGCAGCTAGGCCGGAGAATTCTGCCAAGCCTCAGAGCCCGGGACATTTGCCGTCACAGGGGACAGCGCGAGCGGTCCCTGCCATGCTGGGCCAGGCTCCATGCTTGAGTTCGACCGGCTCACCGAACACTCACCGCAAGCACGTGGGCGGACCGTCCTCAGGCCCCGTGGAAGAAGAGGGAGGTTAGGGGAAGAAGCAACCTCGGCTCTCACGGCAGGCACGGGGGAGCTCCGGCTGGCCTCAGCCTGCCCGTCTGACCGGCTCATCCCTTGGTGTAAGCCGCAGGCAGAGGTGAGGCGCAGAAGCGGCAGCTGTGGCTGGAAGGACAGAGGGCAGGGCAGAGGCCAGGGCAGCCGCCCAGAGCGCCCCAGGAAGCCACGACAGGACTCCAGCCCGGAGGAAGGCCCAGGGCAGGGCAGGGGCTCCGTCAGGGACCGGGGCCCTGCGGAGCTTTGAGGTTGAGGGAAGCAGAGGCAGCCAGAAGCCCTGACGTCTCAGAATGTTCTGGAACTGGAAGAGTGGAGTTGTGGAACCTTACATCCATCCGTGAATAGTATTGCTATATTCATCATATCTCACGGCCCGGGACAGTAACTGGTCCTCACCAATTTGTGCCCTTCAGTCAGCAAAGAAAGTGAAACTGTGCTCAGAGCACTCCGTTTATGAAGACGGAGAGTGACATGCCCTTGATCCAGGGCCTCGCTGTACCCCGAACGCCTTATTTCTGAGGCTGAAGAATTCTCATCTCCTAGACTCTGTGGTGCGATCACCCATCGATCGCCACCTTCCTACCTGCCCCGCGGAAATCCTAGGACTGTAGAGATGATCACCCCTTCCCAGCGACTCCCTCCCTCCAGAAATAGCCACTCCGGACTGTTATTCAATCGTCAAAATGACAGCCGCGGCCGTGAGAGTCTTGAGACCGCACCTGTGGCTGGCACCACGGAAGTCTGAACTCTGCATCTGACTTTTGGGATTGCCAGCAGATGGCTTTACACCGGGTTCTCTTTCATGGGTCATCAACGGCCGAGTCCTTTACTCTCCCCCCCCCTCCTCTCTCCGGCAGAAGCAGAGGACCTGATGCTTGGGTGATCGCATGGATTACACACTAGAAGAAATACAGGGTTAGCTTCCTGCGCACAGCAGGTAGGTCCCTATCTTTTCGTAACCAGTCAGACCCCGGCTTTGTTCCTGTGTGTTGTGTGGCTGGAGTGTGTATAACAGGTGTTCTCTCCACCAGACAGAACGCACCACAGCACCACGGCCTTCTTGCCCTGAGAAGCACCCCTTGGCTCTAAGCTGCAAAATCACAGATGCAAAAAATAAAAAGAAAGTAGCACTGAGACCCTGCAAAAAAAAAGGAACAGAACCGAGCCAGCATCCCGGGCTCTCCCTCGGCTGGACCAGGCCCAGTCTGGTTTTCACCACCCTGTGCGGATCCACAAATAGCTGTAAATGAGCCGTGGAAATGGACTCGGGAGTCCCCCACACGCTCCACCCCTCACCCAATCAATACTGATTGGAGGCCTTGAGCCCAGCGGTCGATGACACGCTTCGTGGGACCCAGCTGGCCCTCCGTACCACTCTCATCGTTCACGTTGGCCACCGTGGGTGACGGGCACGCTCGGTCTTGTGACATCTCTGGGCGGTGACGGATGGTCTCACCAGCTCCCTCGTCTCCATTAGCTCAGTTCTCCAGAGCAGACACATGGCTGCAGTCCAAGCACAGAGGCCGAGCCAGGCCCAGCCCCCAGCTCATCCCTCTCCAGGTGGGGCTGGGCTCCCCCGACACCCAGGCCCTCTCCTCTCCAAGAGAATCTACATGAAGGCCGAAGTCCTGGGTGGGGGATTTGTCACCAGAGTTTCAGCTCCCAGCAGGGAGGTCTGGCAGAGTTAAAGTGAATCCTTGACAGTGCCCAGCCCCCGGGGCTCAGAGACCGGAGAGCAGGGATGGGCTCGGAGAGCTGGGAGAGGGGCTTCGGCCTTCCGCCTCTGCCGTTGATGTGCCTAGGAGGGGAAATGCCTCCTGGAGTTACCGTCTCCAGAGAGCAAGGCCAAGACTAACGGAGGCCTAACTGGGTACAGATCCAGAGCTTCAGGGCTGGGAGGCGCCGGCCATGTCCACCCCCAACCGCGCTCGGAGGGCGGGCGCCTGGGAGCCTCCCGTGCTCACTGAGCGCCGTGGCTCTGGTCCCTTCTCCCCTGGCAGCAAGCTCCCCGGGAAGGAAATGAAGGCACGCACCCGCCAGCTGGCAGAAAGCCCAAGACACAGCTAGTTCAATCCAATTAGAACTGGATTCAATCAAATTTAAGAAGAAAATCCAATCCGAAGCAGAGCGCCATTAAAGCAGCGTCTGAAGGAAGCTCGTTAGTCCAGGAGCCCCCCCCACATTTTCCCCGTGAAACAGTCCCCAGCCCCCCCCACCCGCCACCCACCCAGCCCCGTGTCACCGCAGAGATCTGAGCCCCGAACCTGCAGTGTGGTCAAGATGCAAACCACAGCCCATCTGTGCTGGAAGGACCCTGCCTCCCGGACGCCGCGCGTGAGCCGGCCTCTGTCCCCCGCCCACCCCCCCGGGTTGGTTGGTTGGTTGGTGAGGCCCTTCCTTCCCAGAGCTGTCTTCCTGGCAGTGCTCGGCTTGTGCAAGAAACCCTTATGAAGGTGTCTCCACAGCCTCTTGCCCTGAAGTAGGAGAGACGGAAAGATGGGAGCCTGAAGATGAAGCAATGCACCCAGAGTATGCACACAGGCATGTGCACACACACACACGGCCCCGTTTCCCACCGAACGCACACCTAAACACACAACAAAACCCCCTCCTCGCTGCCGCTCTGAAGGAAGAGAGAGCTAGCCTTGTTGGTTACGCCTTCTGCGTCCAGCCTCAACGTCGGAGGAGAGACTAGGAGCCAGACGGTGGACGGGAGAGAAGAAGATGCCACCATCCCCTCTCCGCTGCTTCCCCGTGGGCCCTCCGGCCAGCAAGCCCCAACCCAACGACGCTATCTTTGCACTTGGGTGCCATCTTGATTTTTTGTATTTCTTTTTTCTATTCTGACCAGATGTGTGTGAGGAAAAGGGCGTCTTCCCCCCCTCCCTGCCACCCAGGACATTTTCTTGTGTTTGGAATCCTTTTCCATGTGAGGGGAAAACAAAGCAAAGCAAAAAACAAGTCCCCTGGGTTAGAGAAATCCTTCCAGGCATGCTAAGCGTGGCCGGGCAGCCATGAGGATGAGCTTGAGGACACTCAGCCTTCGGGGTCTTAAGTCGGAGGGACACAGGTGAATATTGGAGGGCTGCTGTCAGAAGTCGTGGTCTTCCCGTAGATTTGCGGGTTCCATGCCAGCCGCGTGGCCACGCTCAGGCTCCCCGCGTGGGAGCTGGCCCTGACACGCCTCTGCCCTAAGCCTTGTGCCCCCGAAAGAGGAGTAAAGCTAGCCTCCCAGGGGCTCCTGCGCTCCCGGGTTGTTCCGGAAGGGCGTTTCTAGTCAAGGCAGTCCTTTCCTGGAAGGTTTTCCATGGCCCCCTCGTTAGAACGTGCGTGGCTACGTCGAGAACGCCTCCTCCTGTCTCTTCCGTCTGTGAGGGGCCTGGGTTGGTGGGAGACGGCTGTCTGTCTGTCCGTGGGAAGCGGGGCGTGGGGCCAGTTCTCAGCACACAGTAATTGATGCCCGTCTCTCTCTCCCCTTGCCTCCCGCCCCTCCCGCCTCCCTCCCTCACACACACACACACACACACGCACAGAGAGTTCTCCAAAGAGAGGGAGAAGGCCAAGGCCCGGGGAGATTTCCAGAAGCTGCGAGAGAAACAGCAGCTGGAAGAAGACCTCAAGGGCTACCTGGACTGGATCACGCAGGCGGAGGACATCGACCCCGAGAACGAGGACGAGGGCCTGGACGAGGAGAAGCCCCGCAACAGTGAGCAGCCTTCCTCCGGGCGGGGGGCCGGGCCCGGCGGGTCAGCCACCGCCCCGTGGCCGGGCGGGAGGCCGGGCCGGGCGGGTCAGCCACCACCCTGCGGCCGGGCCGTGAGGAAGGGCGGCCTGCGGCCTTCCCGCCGGCCTTCGGCCTTCCCGCCGGCCCGCAGGCTGTCTGCAGTGAGCATCTATCTCGCGGGCGTTTGCCACCCAGAGGGATTAGTCACGGGTGGGAGATGATCGCCATTACCGTGTCACGCCTCTATTCCTTGCCGGGTCTTTGACCTGGGCCAAGGCCACGGCGTCTTTTGTGAAGTCTGATGGGTTCCTCCTTCCCGAGTCTGCCCTCTGGTCGGGGGCCTGGGCAGGCTTGTTGGAAGGGACTGGTGTCCACCGCACAGTTACCCAGAGCGCTCCGTCCCCCGCCCCGGCATCCCTCCCCCTGGACAGGGCACCACTGAGCCTTCTCCCGGTTAGATCCCGCGATGGGAGATGTGAGCTGGGAACGTGGAAGGCAGCCCAGAGCAAGTCATGAGAGCGCAGTTAGGTTACAGACGCCCAACCGGACCCCGTCCTCCAGGACCTCCCAGGGCAGATCGCCAGGGAGTCAAAGCTGGGCTGGAGCACCCGGTGGCTCCCGCCTGTCACCCCAGCGACTCAGGAGGCTGACAGCTGAGGATCGCGGTTCAAAGCCAGCCTGGGCAGGAAAGTCCCTGAGATGCCGATCTCAAAGGAGCCACCGAAAAGCCAGAAGTCCAGCTATGGCTCAAGTGGTAGAGCACCAGCCTTGAGTTTTAAAAACATGCTCAGGGACAGGAGCCAGACCAGCTCTACCTGTGGCCCCTGTGGCCCCCCCACTCTCTCCCTCCTCCCCGTGTGCAGTAGCTCCCGTGCGTTTCTGTCCTCCTGAGTTCCTAGAACGGGTTCCTAAACAGTGGGCGCGTGGAGCAATCTGACACTCAGACAGGCTCGGGAGCTAACCAGGCTGCATGGAGCCGTGCGGAAAGGGCCGGAAGCCAGCGGCTCGCCCCACGCAGAGAGCAGGACTCGGGAAGAACCGAGGCGGGGAACGGGTGGAGGAAGGAGTCAGCCGGCGGTGGTGGAGGAGCCTCGGGCCCGAGACTGGTGTCAGGCATCCATCCACCGCTTCCCTCCTGCTGACCCCCCTGCTCGAGGTGCAGATCCAACATTAAAACGCAGAAACCGAGAGGGGTGCTCAGGGCCTTGTGTAATAAGCTGAGGAGGCCCTGGTGCTCACCCAGCTGACTAGTTCTGCAAGTTGCAAGGCCGAGCTGTGGGTGGATTTCAGCCGTGATGGGTGAGGCCGTGGGGGATCTTTCTGGAAAGCCGCCCGAACCGCGGAGGGGGAGGGGGGGTCGATACATTTGCGGCGCTGAGCGCGGTGAATACGTACATTGGCCTGTGAGCCCCAGAGACGCAGGGACTGGTGTCTCAGAGCCTCGCCCTTCCTTGCTAGAAAGGCTCAACCCAGCCGAGCCCCCCCCCCCCCCCCCCGCCAGGCCAGAGAAGCCTGTAATGAACCACCAGCCCCCACTTCCTTGTAGCCCGAAGAGCCTTTGGGTCCGCTTCTTTCTTTCTTGTCTCTGGCCAGTTTTGTCGTAGGACGGGAGCCTGGCTCCTTTGGACCTACAAAATTCTCCACGGGGACAGGCTGGGGGATGAAGACCTGAAACAGTGGATGCAGAGTGGATGCGAGGCGGGGGCGGAGCCGGGAAAGGGGCCGCGGCGCTGTGTCTGCTAGGAAAGCACACAGGAGCTCCGCCGGTGCCGCCGTACAGTTACTGAGGAATTCGAGGTCTAACGACTTTCATAGGAGGCGGGGTGACGGCGCTCAGAGGGGAATACTGTGACAGAGCACACGCATGTTTTAATTGGCATAGTATCTTAGCTCTTGAAGTTCTCAAAATATTACAGCACGGTTTGTTTGCCAGTTCTTTTCAGCCCAAAAATGAAGTAATCTTTTAAGGGTAAAAAAAAAAGGTGTCGTAACTTTAGTGAGTCTGCTTCTACCTTTGGCATTGAGCCTTTGTCCATCCATCCACCCATCCATCCAATCATTCATCCATCCATCCACCCATCCATCCATCCACTCATCCATCCACTCATCCAGCCAGCCAGCCAGCCATTCATCTATCCATCATCCATTCACCCATCCATCCACCCACCCATCCATCCATCCACTCATCCATCCACTCATCCAGCCAGCCAGACAGCCAGCCAGACATTTATCTATCCATCATCCATCCACCCATCCATCCACCCATCCATCCATCCACCCATCCATCCATCCACTCATCCATCCATCCACCCATCCATCCATCCATCCATCCACCCATCCACCCATCCATCCATCCACTCATCCATCCACTCATCCATCCATCCATCCAGCCAGCCAGCCAGCCATTCATCTATCCATCATCCATCCACCCACCCATCCATTATCCATCTACCTGTCCATCATCCATCCATCTGTCCACCTATCTATCATCCATCTCCGTCTGTCCATCCAACCATCATCCATCCGTCTGTCCACCCATCCTTTCATCCCACCAGTATTCCCATCAGCAGAGACCAGATGCCACGAGCACAGGACACTGGGAGATAGAACGGGGGG